CTTCCAACCCAAAGTATTCTATGATTCTGTGATTCTATGATAAGAGTCAATGACCGAAAAGAAACCTAAGCAAAGCTGTAATGCTTGGCTTGTGGGAGATTTGCGCTCCATTGAGTAATTTTTTTTGGTATTTCTGCACCACTAGAATGAAACATTCTTCCTGGTACTTGTAGTTTCATGCCCAGGAGCCAAGGCACACATACTGATCGTTGACAACAGTGTATACTAAGTCCAAATGTTGAGACTACAGCAACACTGCTTGGTAGAAATATTGCTGCCATAGATACAAAAGACTATGGAAGAGACCATGTTTTAATAGATTTAGGGAGTAATCAGTTTCCCATCAAGAAAATATCAAAGGAGGAAAAAAAAAGCACTTGCAGAGCAGGGTTGTTCTGTTGCAAGACTACAGAAGTTGCAAAGGCAAAACAGTTGGGAATGAGAATACAGGGAATGCAGAGCATACAGTGTGGGGCTGAGCCCCCTTTGAAGCAATTGCAAGTGGTGCTGAACGTGTCTGAGAGCAGTGAGGGATCCGCTGCAGTGTCAGCAATCGTCACCTGCACTTGGGAGCAGGCTGGATTTCGCTCTAGGCAGAGCCAAAAAAAATGCCAAATAAATGCACTGGCTTTTCAGACAGTGGCAGTCAGCAGAGGGAAGGACTGTCACATGCTGCCACTTGCGCTCGCTCCCTCTTCGTGCACCGAGATTGCAGCGCGGGTGGCAACTGCTGAACTCTCACTGCTTTTTCAGGGCAACAAGAACAATGATGCTTTCGCCAAAAGCAGCAGCAGCGGGCAGCCGGAGGGACGGCGACGGCCACCCCCTGGCCCCAAGAGATTCAGAGCAGCTGCTGCCAGCACCCAGGCCCCGGGGAGAAGGTAAAATCTTTGGTAACTCTGGGCTTTTTTGGTTTTCAGTGATTCCCTGTGCAGCTCCTGGGGCTCTGCTCTCAGTCTGTGCCAGCTGCAACGTGAGAAAAATACCCCTGGGTATGTTAGAAAAGCACCTGGAAATAAAACCTCGTGCTGGTAGTTAGTAATTCAGGTATTAGATCTCTCATTTTATTTTAGAAAGCATGGAAAATATGACCTTTGTATTCCTATTAAACTTTTCCTCTGTCTCTTTGGGGAAAACTTTTGAGGGGTGAAATAGCATTTATTTTCATCAAGGCAGGAAATACAGATTCCAGCCATAAGGGATAGGCAGAGAGAGGGAGTCTGTCCCAGTGAGGGGCTGCAGGAGCAGACGCTACACGCCAGGAGCTGTGACGAAGGCAGGCTGCCGGGCGCTGGGCACAGTCTTGGTGCCTGTCCAGTTGTGGTGCTTGTGTTCTCTGAGCTCAAAAGCAAGCTCCGTTGCAATCCCCTCTTTCTCTGCTTTGAGCAGGGACTGAATGACCTCCAGAGGTCTCTTCTGACCAGATTTTTTTCTATGATTTTCTTCCATGATTTTCTTTTTTTTTTTTTAATGAGCAATGTTCAGAACAAACACAAGCTGTTGTTTCATTTGAGCAGAAAAACAAATTCCTCTGAAATCCTTTGCTGGCAGAAAAACCCGTTGGCTGAACTTGGTAGCGCACAGCCTCATTTGCTTCTCATACTGCTTTTTAATACCACACTGGGTTAGGTATTTAAGCATTAAACTTTAGGAGAGACCTGGCATCATATTCACCTATGTCCTTTTTTCTCTCTCCTCCTTTACCGGCAGGCCTTTCCTGCTAAACAGGGGACCAGCCTTCCAGCAGAAGCAGATGCCACAGCGGTTCTCTAAAGACAGCTTTCAGAGAGCGGTCAGTATCGAGACTTTTTTCTGCAACCTGCTGATGGTGACAAGCCTTCAGTTTTACCAGCCTTTGCCCAGTTGTATCTTTGCTTCTAAAAGTAACTGGGAGAGATGGATGACTTTAACAATTAATATATTCCGAGGAAAGTATTTGCAGGACAGGCAATTTTTAATGCAGCTTAATATTCTGGCAGCTGGAAAATAAAACTTGGGCAGGTGATGAAAGTACACCTTGCAGCTTATACAGCAGCACAAGCAGGGAAAAGTAAAGCCACCCCATACAGATCACTGTGCCAGTAGGAAACCCAAAATTAGCAAATTTCTTGACAACGTGCAAGGAAAGAGCTGTTCAGATACACCAACTGAAATACTGGAAAAGGAATCATTGTTTCTGAGAGCTAATTCTTTATGTCATTTTTTTTTAAATATATTTCACAGCAGATGGATGCTAATGGAGAAGGGAAACCACCAAGGATGAGAAGGTAATTGGTGAACAAAGGCATGCTGCAAATGCGACACGCTCTTTCATGCTCAAATCGAAGCTGGATACATCTCCCTGTCTTGGCAGGTGGCAAGTGAAACCAAGCCCTGGAGCAGTTTTGACGGTTTCTGTGGCTAATCCCCAGGCGGGCCAGACTGGCACGTAAGTAAATGAGGTGATTTGTTAGGATGGGAGCCCTACAAAAGCCATTGCAAATCCCTTTAGCATTATTGCAGCTTCGCTTATTCTGTAACAAGCACGCAATGAATGGTTCAGACCCAAAATGGTTAGCAAATGATGTCTCATTCCCTTCCCGGAGTATCTGAAAGGAGACGGTAATTACTGCGTGGCTCATTTGTTATCCAGAGTAAGGAGAAATGGAAGTGCTGGCAGCGCGTGAGAGGTGGCAGGCTGGTTGTGCTTGCTGTGGGGTGTCACGGGGGAAACTCCACACGCCCCAGAGGGACACCGCATGCTCGCTGTGTAAGAGGAGCGCAGAGGCTAGAAGGGGGCAGCTTCACCCCTGGGCTGAGCCAGTGCGGCTGCAGGATCTGGCACCCAGCTAGGGGCAGAAAGAAGGGTGGGTGAGGGCACTTGGCACGTCCTGGGCACAGAGAGCACCCCATGATAGCCTTGACATGACATGGCCCCCAGTGCTGAAACTCTGCCTGCGCGGCAGCTCTCCTGGCACCCTTTAGACTCACGCAGGCTGCCATGAGACATGCCATGAGACGTATGGGGCATGCAGGTGTCTCCTTTCCTCCTTGCTGGTTTGCTGGTGATAGGAAGTGAGCTGCCTTAGCATCCTGAGTGACTACAGATCTGTGCTTTCCCCAGGCCCGGATCCAAGCGCCCGTTCCTGCGAAGCCAGAGGCCCCTGCCACGGGCAGCCAAACCCCAGCCCAAGGGGGTGCTGCTGAGATTCAACTTCCGCGCGATGGCCAACCAGGTAGAGGATTGTCAACAGGACAGGCAGCGCCTTGCACCCTGCAGCAGCCCTACCACTAAGCTGTTAACATCATGCTCAGGTTTTTGGGGCTGCCAGTTGGGTTTATCTAGCATAACCCAGGAGGAAAGTCCTGTAGCTGTGTTGGCTAGGTTGCCTACACTGAAGGCACCTGAGAAGACTGTTCAGCAACTACAGACTCAGCCCAATTTTCCCCGCTCTGTTGGCCCCTCTCGGCCTGCCCATGTGCTTGCTTGGAGTGGGGAGATGTTCCTTGTGAGGGGTCCTGGGGGGGGGGACCATTTCACTGTCGGTGCTCCCCACTCCTCAGAGACACACAACACTTCTGAGCTTTGCTCTCTCTTTGCTTTGGTGACCTTCTCAGTGCCACGTTTTATGTTGAAGTATGGTCCAAGAGCCCTGGGGCAGGTCAGAAATCCTGCTCCACCTTCTTCATTGCTGGTGTTTCTTGTCTGGACAGTTTGGTTTTACTTGATGCCTTGTGCTCAAATGCCATCTGCTTGCTCCTGTTCTTGCCGAGGATGCCCAGTGTCTTGGGGCTGGGCACTGCTTGGAGGCTTTCCAGACGCACACAGTCTGTCAAGCTCCTTGTCTCCGTGTGCTGAGTGGTTTAATTGACTAACTGGCTGTGAAGCGCCGTCCTGACTGATGGGCTCTAATCAATACCCTGCTACAAGTTTGGCCGTGCCTTTGCCACAAGACGCGGGACTGACTCGCTCTCCCCTTCCCCTGCAGACCAGCCTGACGCTGGATGAGAGGTTCTCTGGTCTGAGGAATAAGAGGCGCTTTACAGCAGCCAGGAGCGCCGGACGGACGGTCACCATGCCTTAGCACCGCATGCTCGTCACCCAGACTGCCCATAACAGTCCAGGGCCCGTAACGGGCAGCTCAATAAAACTTGTTAGATTTCCTCTGAGATAGCTAATTTGGCAATGTGCCGTCTCCTTCCTTACACGCAGAATGAATGAGTGATTGAGGGCAGGGATGAGGCAGTGTGAGAGTTGGGGCCAGAGCACAGGGCAGGTGGGACATGAGCGGGATGGTGGAGAGGGATGAGCAGAGATGGATTTGCTGGGAGTGCTCTGCCAGGGAGCTGCGGGACTGGCACCAGCCTTGTCCCACTGCCAGGGCACCCTGTACTGCCCAGGGTGACTCCTGCAAGAGGGAGGGGGCCCAGCTCCAAGCCATACCCATGGAGCCTTCCCTGCATTGACCCGTGGGTGGGACAGGGTTGAGGACACTGTGCCTGCCTGCGTGGGAGACAGAGTGGGGAGTGGAGCATGTGCGGGGCTGAGGGATGTTCCCCAGCAGTGGCACCAGTGGGGATGGCTCCAGCTGCCCGCATTCCTCAGCATCCATCTAATTGCCTGATTTGTTGTGCGTGCAGGCATCCCTGCCCAGAGGTTTGCAGTGTAAGACCCCTCCATCCTGAAAACATTTCACTCTGCCCTGATAGTCAGGCCTGAGCACCTTGCATTTCTCTTTGGTTTGCTGTGCTGTTCTGACTGCTGCTGCTGGCCCGGTTGTGGGGACAGGGTGAGACGTGCCATGCCATGCCACTGGAGTGACTATCCTCGGCGCGGAGCACAGACAGGTTGTCCCAGCCCAAATCAGGTTTTCCAGTGCTGGAGCAGCTCTGCTTTAGGGATTTCGTAGGTGCAGCTCCACCCATGCTCAAAGCACCGGCATAATCGAACTAGCAGTTGCAGGAGGGAGGCCAGGCTCTACAGCCGTCCAATAAACATTGGCTGAGATGTTAATGAGCTGGGTCTAGATATTTGTTAATGAAACCCTGCACCAACCGTGAGTCACTGATCCATTCTCCACCCACTGCTGCAACACAGCACTGAACGTGCTGGACACAGCCTGTTACTGGGCTCTGAGCTATACTTATTAAAGTAAATATTTGATAGACTGCTTTACATTTTACACTGAGCGTCTTTAACAAGAGACTGGACTTAGCGTTGGTTTTATAGGAATGTGTGAAATGTTAGTTGACAAAGCGGTGATGTATGAGTCCAATGCACTGAATAAAAAACTAACTTGTCAAATGTCACCTCTGGTTATTTCCCTTCCTTCAACAGGCTTTTGGCACAAGTTCAGCCTCTCAGTGTGGCACTGTGGGGCACAGTATGTGCGGCCACATGGGCTGCTGCCTCGGTGCTTTGGGGGAGGCTGTGGTCCACATCGGTGCCCACCTGCGGGCAGTGGGGCACTGGCCTGGCCATGCAGGCAGTTTGCTGCTCACAAAGCTGGCTCCACAGCGCAGCCAAAGCAGTGGGAAGTTTTCAATTGGTATTTTGTAGAATCTTTGCTGTGACCTCTTTTGCTTTTAACATTATCCGCAAAATTATCAGAGCAGACCTGGCTCCAAGTGTGTCCAAAGCAAAAGGAATGCAAACTGACTTCCAGGTTAATGAACTCAGAAGACATTACCCCTTCATGCAAATAATCCAGATGTCATGGAATATGAACAAGAAATGCTGTCACAAATGGCAATATCCCTGATTTCAGTTGCACCTTCACTATAAATATTGACAAAAGATGGTAGACTCGCTAAGAAAACATGATCACTTCTTAAATGAGGTTGCAAAGGGACGGAGCCGTTCAGTCCTGAAAGAACAGCTGAGTGTGCAGCATCCCTTGGTGTTCAAAGCATGGCCTGATACTATTCTTCAAATAGATGTTTTTCAGCAGTCTGTACCTTATATTTTTTTAAGTACTACTTAAATTAAAAGTGAGGGCTTAATGATAAAAACTACACTTTTTTTTCCTAGCTTGATTCCCCCACAGGGCTGGGTGACTTTGCATGCAGCGAGAGACAAAACAGGCTTTGCACAGGAGGGCACTGCATTTATAAGTAGCAAAAAAGCATAACCGTCATGCTAAAAATGTATTGGGAGAGGGCACACAGTCAGTTCACTCCAACTGGTATAAAATACCCCTTTCTGCCACAGTACTAAAACCACAGAATAATTATCTCTAAAATTATCCCTGCTGTCGTGCATAAGGTGAGCTGCTGCGCAGAGCCCAGCTGCTCTTTGGGGAGGGTGTTTGTGTGATGCAGTTCAGCATGCTTCTTTAACCATCGCCTGGGAGATTTGTTTGGCCAGTCCGGCCATTTCTGATGGTTTCTGCGGCGGTGTCCGGTGCCGCACAGGCGGCTCAGGGGTCCCCTACCCAGAAGGTGGCAGCAGCCGGCTGTTGGCTGAACCCCCTGCCAGGATGGCTTCTCTGAGGCTGGGGTCACTGGGAAGGAGCAGCTGTGCAACCTGGAAAACATTTTTACTCTATTTCAGGCCAGTCAAAGCCGCCTCCAGAATAACACCTCTGATGATGTTTGAGAGGTTTAAAAATGTAGGAGCAAGTGTACAGGGTCAGAAGTGTCCCCATAGTGCATCCCAGGGGAGGGGGGACACCAGCACATGCGTGTGGCCCCAGTCGGTCACTGCACTGAACCCACAGTACTGGTGATTTCTTTCTTTAGCCACTTGTATCATTGTGTTTAACAGCATTTGGTGGGGTTTTCTTCCACTGTTGCTTTTTGCTATTTGCTTTCTATTTGTCTATGTCTCCAAAGACCAGTATTACAAGTGAATATTCATTCCTTTACGCCCTTTGCAATTTATAGACCTGTGCTGTGTTCTCCCTTGCTTGCCTCCTTTCTAGGAGAAGGGCCTTGGGTGTATCTACTTGTCCGCTGCCTGGAAGCTGATCCATCCCTCTGGTCACCTTTGCACCTTTTCTAGCTCTGCTACATCTGCCTGAGACAGCAGGGCTGAAGCAGACATGATATTTGAGATGGATTTATAGGGAGGTTCTGCTTTGTTTTCTGTTCCTCTCCTAATAATTCCTAACATTCCAGTTGCTTTTTAACCCAGAATAGCCACTTGGAGTAGGAAATGGTAAGGCACACTTACATTGGTTTAACGAAACAACTTCCCAGGGAACATTTTCTGCAGAAGCCAGTCTCACAGCCCACATATTGGTGGTAGAGAGGGCTCCCAGAAAGCTGGTTGCAAGAGGACGTGCCGAAGGGTCCGACTTTCCCATCTAAGCACTAGTGGTGACATTCGGTATTTTCTTAGCTGTTCACAGGATGTCTGGTTTGATGCTAAAAGCTACCTTTAATTAGCTTAACAGATAGGGGGTAGAAGGCCAGCTTTCCCTGCGAATTTCCCTGTTTGTCAGCTCTTGCTGATTTTAGTGTCATAGCACCAGGAGGAGATGTGGATCAGGTTACCCCCCCGGTATTTTGGGGCACGTGTATTGCCAAGCAGGCACAGGGCAGGGTCCCAAAGTGGTGCCCCAGGAGCAACATAGCAGTAGGGGCCTCAAGAATAAAAATGAGTGGTTTGGGGCAGACCCTTTGGTCAAATCCATCCTGGTAACAAAGTAGCAGCCAAGGCATCACAGAGGGGGGCCGGCAGCCTCTCCCGCATTGCACCGAGGTCCTTGTGCTGGCATTTGTCAGACTGGCTACAAAACAGAGTCAGGCAGGACATGAACTCACTGCCTGGACTCGAAGGTGCAGGGGGAAGCATCGGTGGAGATGGAGACTGCTGTCTGCAGCAGGAGTTGTTAGTTTTTAGGGGTCCTTGGAGGGATTCAGATAGACAGAAACCACAGGCAAAATATTTAAACAGAAACCTGAGATCCAAACAGCATCTCAGGCACTGCGTTCCCTCAGGGGCTGGGATAAACTGAGCAGAGCATTTGCCAGTCAGCAACCCAGTAGAAAAGAGAGTCACAACAAGCTGAGAAAAGACACTCAAACCCCTAGACTGAAATGCGAGGCGTGCCCCACACTGGAGCCCAGAGAGCAAAACAATGTGGAGGGGGGAAACAGTCTGTGGAAGGTTGAACAGTACTTTATGAACTAACTTATTTCCAGAAATCTCATATCATTTCTGAACAAACCAGCATGCTACCCCAGTACAGCGCTAGGTGAGAAAGGGATGAAAGGGATGTAGGAAAGTGCTACAAACCTGAAGGATTTACCACAATTTCCTAAAGGACCAGAAAAACTAACAGCATCCCCCAGACAGCACTGGGCAATCCCAGCCCCTCCAGTTGAGGTGTTGCAATGGGCAGGATGCCCTGCTTTCACAATTATCCCTGCTCCAAGCCAGCGTTAGCTTTGTCAGGAACCCGGGCCCTGCACTAGGTGCAGAAACTTGGCTCCGCTTTGTACCCTGGAAAAGGGATAGCCTCTTGCAGAGTTTGACTAAAGGGCCTTTAACTTCCATTTGCAAGACAGAGTTATTTTTCCCCATTGCAGGGTTCTTTCACTCAAGTCTTATTCCCACTGTTGATTGGGATCAACTCTGATTGCTTTTATAGGCAACATAACATAAAGTGCTAAAATGTGGAGGCAAGAGGAACAGAAAAAAATCAGATCTGGGCTTTATCTGCTTAAGATCAGAGGTTTAGGATTTAGTATTAAGCCACATCCTAAAGCAGATCCTTCCTGTCTATGTCAGGACTGCTGCCAGCTCTCATGATTTTACTGAATGTTCTGCGATGTTTAATGCTGCAGTTAAAACCCAGTTCCTGGAGGCAGGCCAAGAGGTGAAAATCTCGGCTTGCCTGTATTAAAAAGTCAATTTGCAATGCTGTGGCTATGTGGGGAAGACTGTGACCCAAGAGTAACTTAAAAGCTTGGGTGTCAGATGCAAAAAAAAATTCTTAATTTTTTTTTTTGTTTGTTTGAATGTCATGTTTCTAAGTCAACCTTATGTTTAGAGCTTGACTCATGACTCTCATGACTCTGAAACGCTCAGAGCACACTGCTGGGCCAGAATTAATCCACAGTCACATCTCATTGTGAA